ACAACTTCTTCCCACTTCTCGAGTAGAACTTTTTTGACTTTTCATGAAAATATTTTTCAGAAAACGTAATCGCCTTCTCGTTCCAAAATTTCTTTCAATTTTCTCGACAAAACCACTGTGCAGCCGCTGGAAAATTGCTTTTTACTAAAATATGTTTCACTTTCACTCACGGAGTGACCTAATAATTATCAATCGTTGTTTCTCCCATGAAAAATAAAATTAAAATTCTAATCAACGGTAATGTTTCTTCTCATGATCGAAGAATAATCCGTGTTGCAGAAATATACAAGGGACTCCATGGAACTGTACCTAATAACATACACTCTGCATATTATTTTTATTGTTTCCATGCAACGAGCCAGTGTCTAAAGTAGGCAACACCGATACAGACAACTGTTTCCTGTATCCAAGCATTCGAAAATTCCGGGGCTGGTTTTCACCGAGCTCCGTACCTCTTCACCGAGCCAGTCTGATACCCTGATGGCCCATTGTCGACGGGCTTTTGTCTAGAAACTCCCGAGCTACTATGAGAGTATGACGAGCTACCGGATCCAGAGATACCCATCAGAAGCGTTTACACCAGAGATTACTCGTGGCGTGGCTTCGAGCGACGCTTCTTTTCCATCCGGCCAGTCGATACTCTCCTTCCTTCACCCCTTCTGCCCCTCTCGTTGTTCCTCTAGCCGTTTTCCCTCATTTTTCATGCTCGACGCCGCGGAATTTCAGGCCTCGTCGACGAACAGAAAGACCTCGCGGTCCATTGAACAAAGCCATCGATCGAACCCGTGCCTCTTCTCTTCGATGTGTTTTTAGGAAATCGTAAGGGATGGTTTCGGTTCAATTAGAGACTCGTTTTATTGTAAATTTCCGGTTGGATTGCTTCCAGGAGTGGATTTGCAAAAGTGTCTTTTAATAGGGTTTTTTTTGGAAGGGGAGAGGATAGAAGAGTGTAGGGGAACGTTTGGCAATCACTGGTTTATGATTTAGGAGGACATTTGGCAATTATTGGTTAGGATTTTATGGTTTGCATCCGGTGAAGATTTGCAAGAGTATTTTTTGATAGTATTTTTGGGGAGGGATAAATGAGTGTAGGGGAACATTTGGCAATCGTTGCTTTATGATTTAGAGCTTAGGGGAACATTTGGCAATTATTGATTGGGATTTTGCGGTTTGGTTCCAGGAGAGGGTGTAAATTTGCAAAAGTGTCTTTTTATAAGATTTTTTGTGGGATAAGAGAGTATAGGGGAATATTTGACGATCATTGGTTTCTTATTTAGGGAACTATTTTGCAATCATTCTTAGGATTTTATGGTTTGCTTCCAGGAGAGGATGTAAATTTGCAAAAGTGTCTTTTGATAGTATTTTTTTTTTGTATGAAAGAGTATAGGGGAATATTTGACAATTACTTGTTTATGAATTAGGGAAGCATTTTACAGTCATTGTTATGATTTGGCAATTATAAGTCAAAGCAGGCAGTATGAGAAACTAAAATTTTAACCATTAGAGACAGATTCCTTGATTTGTAATTTTTGCTACCCTACCTTTAGCACGACTCATTTTGCTTTTCACTTTCGTTCCTTTCTATCTTCACCTTAAATTGGCAGACAATAAGAGATAATTGTAATTTTCACAAACCAAGCAAGGCTCCGTGTCCAAGATATTAAATTAAGAACATAAATTCAAAAAATCAAATTCTACAAAGAGTATTTTTTCACCATCAGTGTATTTTTTATAATGCATCAATAGTATTTTCTAATGATCTTAATAAACATTATTGACCAAGTTTGACCAAATTGTGTATTCCAAGAGAGGTGGGATTTTTAGAAGAATTTCTAAATAAGAATTGTCAACTAGTTGTAATGTAACTTATTAATATTCATATCAATTTGAATAAATTACTATTAATGTTTGCGTCATTGACATGTCTAACCAAGTTCTCTACCCAGGAATTTCGAAATACGAACCTAAATCGATACATGAATTATTGTAATTATTCCAACATGTTTATTAAATCGTTATCGCATATTCTCTATAATTACGGATTAATTGTAAATTACTGCAATTGTGCAAGGGTCGAGTAACCTAGAACTATTATTACCTCTAATCTCAAATTGCACATCCAGCCATAATCACAATGTGAGTAGGCACAAGTTGTCTCACAAATATTTACTTAGCTCCCGAATTAATTTCGAATGGACAAAATAGCCAATCAGTAGTACAGATTATAACGAAATCCTCGAAAGTTTCCACGCAACTTTTCGAATATTCCTCAAAAAATTCGCCGGATAAATTATTCCACCGAAATTCCAAGGCAATATTCGCGGCAGGTTAACTTCGTCCACGAAAGACGGGGTAATATTGTTAAAAGTTTCTCCATAATCCCGTCGATTTCTTCGTAATCTCGACGAGTCGCCTGGAAGTTAAATTAAATAACGCGCGAGAATCTAGGCAAAATTTTTCCCCTCTCCTCGAACCGTCTATTTTCCAATCTTCCCACGGAGAAGATATCGAGAGAAAGTTGATAGCTCGAGGAAAACTGGAAATCACTTGGTTCGGGATTCGAAACAACGATCCGGAAGTTGAAAAGCCTCCTCCACGGTGCGAAATTCGAAATTATGCAAGTGGAGACGAAGCTCTCTCTCTCGAAAAAAGGAAAAGAGCGGCACAGAAATGCGAAGCTTATAAACGAACGGGTGCCGGAGAACCCTTGGAATAATTAAGAACAGAGATCAAAGATACCCGTTCCACTACATGGAGAAGAGCACCCTCTGGTCGTCAATCGAAATCGACCATGAGACAGAACGGACCTTCGAGGAACGTTGCGTTTCGGCCCTTTGTTACCACTTTCCGCATCTCTGTTTACAAATACACCTGAATAGAGCGTAGATTTCCCCCTTTTTCGACCGTTGAATTATTGTATGCTCAGCTCCCGCAGCTCCTTTCATTAGCGATTGTAATTAAAACTTAGGGAAAAATGGAAACCAGGGGGAAAGTATAGTCTATTATGGTAATTAAGAAGCACAGAGTTTCGAATGTATTAAGTTGAAATGCATGAAAAATAATATTTCCATTTTTTATGCGGACAGATAGTGAAAATGAAAAGTCGTGATAATAGAGAAGTATGAAAATTAAAAATTTTGGAATTATTTCGTAAAAGTCGGTCTTCTGTTGTTTTGTAAACGATGAGACATTGAAATTGGAGTAAAATTGAAGATAAAAATCACAATAATGGAGAAATATAAAATGTTGAAATTTTTTTAATAATTCTCTAAAAGCTTTCAAAAATTTGAGTAAAATGGATTACAATTTCAATAAAATATTCTAGTTGAAAATAGAAAACAATAAGATGTTAACACAAACTAAAATTATACAAATTTTCTTTTTAAATTACAACCTAAACCCTTCTAATTTCTTGAATATTTTCACAATTTAGTGTATTTTATTTCAACAATATGTTAAGGTGCGCTAAAAAAATGTTCATTTTTCGGGAGACAAACATAGGAAACACGAAAGTGGTTGATTCATAGCGATGAAATGCTCGAAAGCGTTCGTCAGATAACACTTATCGAAGGAAATCGTCAGCCCCACCCCGTGTAATCTAGCTGAGAGCTCGGCAGGTATTTCGGGATCGATGGGGCGGCTCTTAAGGTCACTCGTAAATACAAAATGACTTCGATCGATTGCGCACCAATGGCCAGGATAATTTAACACTGATTTTTAGGCGTGATCAGGCACGTAGCCAGCGGATCGTGTTTAGGGAAACGTTCCAAGATCGAAGCCTTGAACACGATATACACAGCATGAGCATTGATCGTGACAATGACGGAACAGTAATCACCAATTGAACACGCGTCACTAGTCCTCGCTTTTGCTACCTAAATATCACAGTCGTGAAATTCAAACTTTCAATCGTGAAAAATTCAATTCGTAAAATTCCAAATTTCAATCACGACGAATAAAACTTTCTAAATATTCCATGGAAAATTCTCTTCAACTAATTTCACCGTATTCTTCGATTCAATGCTTCGAAGGATGATTAAAGTCTCAATAGATAGATACCTTTCTATAAATAAATTATAATAATTTTTTAGTGTAACTCTTTAACTTCTTTTCAAAATTTAGCTGAAACGTATAATTTTCCGGCGGCACCAAACGGTTTCAATTAAATCGCAGTAATTCATCTTAAATAGAAACTATCGACATCACTCAGACATCTCGCTATTCAAAACAAAAATTTTCCCAAAAATTCCAATTATTTCTAGCACCATAAAATTGCTAAAAATAATACACCATTCTCACGTTTATAATTATCCAATTTCAATGCACTTTTACAGTACAGAGTGTTTAAAAAAAAAAATGATGAAAATAAAAATATTTCTATTTCCTAACATTTTGCTGAAAATTTTTATGTAATGCATAGGGGTTTCAAATTTTTTGTCCAGTAGTGTGTCTGTGTTAACATTTTTTCAAGCACCTTATATTAACCCTTAACTACAGAATGACTGAATTTTTATTTCATTATCACAACTAACGAACAGTTTTTATTTCATTATTTCTAGCAGAAAAATTTGTATTTCATTACTCTAACCTAGTAGAAAATTTAAAAAATTCTAGCCTTCGATTACCTTCAATTGACGATATTGTTTTAATAAAAATATTACACAAAATTTCAACAAACAAGTACACAACACGAACTAAAATAGCTATATTAAATTAATTTTTGTAACAAAGTGGTTTAATAAATCAAATTCGCCAGGTAGTTTAAGAAACCATATCTCTGTGACAACGGCTCAAAGACAGATGTCAGAAAATGCTTAAGGGTTGAACATCAATGGAGAATCTCTAGTGTCTAACAGGTTACAGGTCAGCATGCAACTGAAACGTGATTTTGCGACGTGTATCGTGTATCAGAGTGGTTCAGAAACGTACTGTATCAACGTGGTTTATCGTTGTACAACTAGTGAAATTCGCTTGTTCGGAAACTGAAAGTAGAAACTCACTTTGAGGGCCTCCTCGTGGGTCACCGCACGGAAGGGTGTGCCGTTCACCTCCAAGATGGTGTCTCCTGGCCTGAGTCCAGCGCGTTCGGCCACCGAACCCTCCTCCACCCTCGAAATGTAGACACCCACCCCTGAGAACAATTCACAGACTTTCCATCAGGCCGGAAGCTGCCTGGCGACTGGTCCACGACCAGTGCTAGCTAAAACCTTCCACCCAGGACGCATCCTTTCGAACTTTCCTCCGCATCGCTCTCTACTCGATATTCACTTGACACTCGGAGGAATTCAATTCACACGTGGAAAAATTGACGTAATTTCGTCATCGAATATCGCACGTGGCAGCGTTAAGAAATTGGAAAAATTTGCATAATTCTCATTGTCGAATTCACACGTGACAGCGTTAAAAAATGATTCCGTTAACGAGAGAATTCCAATAATTTTATAATCGAATCTCACTTGAAAACTGAGCTGAACATTTTCTTCCAATTTTCCACGAAATTCTTGACGTTAGGGTGGATCGAGTGTCCCACTTCGTTGCAGTTTATTTCATTTCTAAATGTCGATTTAACGCCCCGTTACTCGTCCCATCAACACTTGAATTACACAAACCAATCATTTAAGTATTAATTAATCGCGTTAAACCTAGCATATAACGGAGCCGATGAAACCGATCTCCGTGAAATTCGAAACGAAATAAACTATCCGCAACTGGGTCGCGATCTATCAAAGCACTCGACTCTGAAAGCACCTCTGCCTGAATAATAGAACAATTTCCTAAAACCATTTGCCAAAGAAAGAAAAAAAAAAAGACACGAGAGCGTTCTATCGAGTTCATGAATATTCGAATCACAAGCACAGGGCGATGCTTGTACAATAATTAACAAAACGACTTCTCGACTCTTCGATGGACGCGAAGAAATAAAAAAAAAAAGGCACTACAATCCTTGGAGCATTTTAATACTGAACATAAACGTGCAGCTATAAGCTGTATCGTGAACCGCTTTCGAGACTCCGTAAATCGAGTCTGGCGGAAATTGATCCATTAGAATGCAAGAGGTTCGTGAAACGGACAAGTTTTAACTCTTCACGAACGAATTACTTCGTCTGATGGAAACGCCATGGGTGGAAATCGGTTGGTTTTCGTGTTTCGTAAAAATGAAATTAAAAGAAAAAAAAAAAGAAAGAAAGAAAGAGCAGAAGACGAGAGATATAGAGAGAAATGAAAGAAGAAAGAAAACGAAGGAGCAGTAAAATGCGGATGCAGAACAGTGAGACTGCTCGAAAACAGAGATTACGATCCTTGATGCCGTGGTGCTGCGTGTTCTCTTGTGTCTCGCGCGCAACGTGACGGAAGTGGAGGGGGCATGCAAACGATTTTTCTGCGGAAACACCCGTTACAGGGATCGCCCGTGGCCCGTTTCTGCTTTAACCACCGCGGGAAAAAGAGAAACGAGAGAAGGAATCCCGTTCCATTTCGGCATTCTCGCCTTTTTCACCTTCTGTCGACTTTGGATGGAAAAGCTGCCATCTTTCTTTTCGCGAATTCTCGAGAAACGCGAAAATCACAGTGAGAAGTATATACGGAAGTATATATTTCTGTTGAATGTATCAACATCAGGATCCCGGAAAATGGGTTAAAAAGCGTCGAGAAAATTAAAAATGTTTAATTTCAAACGTAAAAATTACAGAGGAAAGATATATTTACTCGTATACGTTCAATAGAAGTAATTTGAATAATCACATATTTCTGATTGAATATATATTAACATCAGAGTTCTGGAAAAAGGGTTGAAAAGTGTCCATATTTGAAATTTAATTTTTCTTCCAATAAAAAAAACAAGGCCACCGATTGTGTAAGCCCAGCAATAATCCGTTTCTTACTTTTGTCAGTGCGTTTACTATTTTAAAAATTAAATTAAATTACACTGAATTGAATGAAATCGTACTTTGAATCACGTTGCTTGGTTTGGCACAGAATAGGTTATGTCCGCAGAAAAAGGAGACAACATGGCGGAATGTTTATGGTGAAGGTGGTGAATGTTTGTCGTACGATATTTTCTGAGCTCGTGCAGCGGTGAGAAAGATTCATAAAAACGTCAATTAAATGTACATTATATTCGATTAATACTCTTTGATTAAGTACATTCGATGTTCTTCTTTCAACTGAAAATTTGCGAACGTCCAACTCGTTCGAACGTCTCATCTCTCGCGCGACAACAAATTGCTCGCTCGAGGAAGCTTGGTGAACCTGTTTCTTCGTGAAAAGGAACGTTAGAAGTCGTGAGCAGAAAGCGGAAACGTTTCACTTCGAATTTCTGCAATGTTCCACGAGACAGATACCTGAATTTTTGGGAAAAATTCGGACCATCCAACAAATAGGAAATAAATTGAAAATACGCGCATTCGGAAATAATTCGCACGAATTCCATAAACGATTGGCTCGCTTTTTATAACCGTTTAATCCTGTCAATTCCACGATTTTTAATTTCGTGCTCACTTTCTTCAGAAGCGTGGTAAGGAATAATTAAAGAAATCTGGGTTACTTAGATTAGATACACATTCGTATATTTAAAACATTTAACCATAAGTAAGCATAGATTTCTTCAATAATTAACTTTCTCCTCTGAAACATATATCGCGCGTGAAAGGGTTAAATACACATTGAACGTCTTAATTCATCTTCAAAATTTTCTCGAAGAAATTCGTTCATTTTCATACGGTATATTTTTCAATTAATTTTTTCTCTAAATTTAGAAGAATATCAAAGATCGTAGATGTCTGAATGAAACTCTGATAATTAAGCGATTAGAATAAGGAATTTCTTAAAATTTTCAGAAGACTAATTGTAATACATCTTCGTACAATAGATTTTTTACTTTCTACGGTTCAACGAATGTTTTCTAGAAATTTAAAGGGACATCGGATATTGCAGATGTTGATGATGAAACTCTGATAAACGGTAGCGATCGGAATAATGAATTCTTCAAGTAAAGTTTCCCCCTATTCCATAGAAGAACGTGGAAGAACACGGCCGAACCTCGTTAGCCCGAACTAATTAGGCAAAAGTTCTAAGTAACGGAACCATAGTTGATGAGGTTCTACGCCGCGTACGTTTCGATGCATTATACATTACACAAATTAGCTCCAACTTAATAGCGATCAAGCTGAGCCAAGCGTTTACGCTATCTTTTGTATCATTTTAATTGAATGCCGCGCAAGACTGTGTTAATTAGCTCATTAACCGGTATCTAAAATCGCGAAACACATTGTAAATCTCCCTTTGCACACTCTATTACGTGACGTGGACGCAACAAAGGTTTCCTTTGTCGTCCTTTTCGTATAGGAACAAACAAAAAGTCCAACTAATCAACCCTAAAACGTTTAAATGAAACGGTCATATTAAATCCTATCTAAAATCTTAGTATCTGTTGGAACTTTTCTTTCTCACTTTTTGAAATAGAAACAAACAAAAAATGGAACTGGTCAAATTTGAATCGTTTAAGAAGTAAAATTTCTTCTGAAAGTAGAAATAAATTCTGTTTAAAATCACGATATCTGTTGGAAATTTTCTTTATCATTTATTTCGAGCAGAGATGAATAAAATAAATCGGATTAACTGAATTTAAAACGTCCAAGAAGTAAAATTTCTTTTAAAGGAAAAATTAAAGTACACTAAATCCTATCTAGAATCTTGAAATCTGTCAGAACTTTTCTTTATCATTTAATTCGATAAGAAATAAGTAATGCAAATTGAATTATTTCAATTTAAAAACCTCTAAAAATCAAAATTTCCTTTACGGTTAATATAGTAAGGCAACTTTTTAAGTTACGAATAACCAAAGTCAAATTTCACCTACAATTTCGTTATTTATCGTAAACAGAAGGTGAGTATAATATTAAAAAAATTCAAATAGATTAGTGTAATTGTTAGAAATTAACATAATTCAAGAGCCTCGGGAATCAAAAAGTAATTTTAAAGTCACGAATAAACTGAGCCGAATTTTTCCTAGAATCTCATTATCTGTCACGACGTGTCGGCAAGAAGAAAGTGAATACAATATTAAAAATATAGCCCGAAAAAGGACACGGAATTATACTTGCAGAACACGAACACCATGAATACTTAATCTCCCCCCAGATATTTGTCTTCAACACGGAACAAACTTTGGTTAAATTATTCAAGAAGATCGAATAGAATCAATAGCTAGTTATTTTTTGCGCAAGTTAAGAAAAAGGTGAAAAGAAAAGAAAGTATTTTGACGTTCGGACAAGATGGACTTAGAAACGCAACGAAGAATAGAAAACGTTTTACTGGAGTCCGCAGGAGTGTTGTCCTGCTGGTAATTGATCTCCTTCCACGTCGACAGGCTTACCCGAGGGAGCGAGCATTATTAATCTGACTGATAAAAGAGATAAGAAGAACAATGAGCTCGTTACGCGAGGCTCGCGTTGCCCCTGCCGAACTTGTGTCGTCGCCACGGCTTAATAAAGCTCCTCCGTGTCTCGAGCCCATTTAAGAACAGATTTCCACTTCGAGAACATCACCTTCTTTTTTGCCCTTTTTGTTTTTAGCCATTGATGACAAAATGCTGACGCGAAAGATTGGAAATTCTTCAGTTATCTTACAGTGTTGAAATCGTTATTCTTTTTCCGCGTTTCCTTTTCTTTGACACTGTTTTGTAAATTTGGAATTTTGCAAATTTGGGGATTTTGGAAATTTGGTACTTTGTAAATTTGGGAATTTTGGAAATATGGACCTTTGGAAATTTGGAATTTTATAAATTTGGGGTTTTGCAAATTTGGTACTTTGGAAATTTGGAACTTTGTAAATTTGGGAATTTTTGAAATTTAGTACTTTGTAAATTTGAGAATTTTATAAATTTGGGAATCTTGGAAATTTAGTACTTTGTAAATTTGGGAATTATGTAAATTTGGAACTTTGTAAATTTGGAATTGTGTAAATTTGGAACTTGGTAAATTTGTAATTCTGCAAACTTGTGATTTCGCAAACCTGTAATTTCGTAAAATAATAATTTCACAAATTCGTAATTTCACAAAATTCTTAATTTCGTAATTTCAACTGAGCTTTGTACGTGACCACAATAATTTATCTTCCACTTTTTCCAAGCTC